GCTCAGATCTGATGTTCACTCCCTGCGCTGTCCACAGGATGGTGCGGCCCAGACTGACCATCTACGTGTGCCAGGAGTCCCAGCAGCTGAGGGACCTCCAGCAGAAGCATGAGGATGGGGACACAGTGACCAGCACCTTCTTTGGTAAGGGGCTGGGGGCACCTGGGCTTGGGCTACTGCAGCAGGGCCAGGGGGGGTTAATTCAGCAAACCAACCCCCTGAGGCTGTTTCCAGCCCTGCTCCTGCTGCCCAGGGGTGCTCAGCACCTCTGATCCCCTCGTCCCCACACCACTGCCTGTGGGGTTTGGGCTGGCCAAAGGCTCCTCTTGGTGTTACTAGAGCTCATAGAGCCTGCACAGCAGCTCCAAGAGGGCCTGTGGCTCCTGTCTTTGGCTGCTGCCATTCTCCTCCCCTGCAACCCAGTGCAGGGGGTGTCGCAGACAGAGGGATAAGGGTGCCAGAAGATGAGGGTGAACCCTTGTTACTTGCCCTGGTCCTACCCAGCTGATCGTCTCCTTGCCCACCCAACGGGTGGCTGCAGAACCTGCCTGTTGCCATGTTGCCTGCTCGGAGCTGACAGATGCTCCTGTAGGGATCCAGCATTCCCAGACAACAGGGAATGACCTACATTTGTGGAGCAGCTGGAGCTGGGTTATCACCTCTGTGATAACGGGAGCGAGTGCAGAAGCAAAGCAGCTCGTCCTTTCCTTGCCCTGCTCCAAGGTGGATCCTCTCCCTTCCCCCAGGACCTGCCTGCTGGGAGTGGGGGAGCAGGGGAGAAGCTGGGGCAGGGCTGGAGAACCCCCCAGGACCGGTACAAAACGCTGCTGAGCTGCTGTCAGTGGAAACAGCAGCTTTTTAGGGCAAAGACTGTACCAGTAAAGAGCACTGCAGGGCTCGTACGTGCTGCAGCTTGGGCTTGGAAAGCTGCTGCTCTGCACGGCAGGCACAGCAGCAACTGCATCCATGGTGTGGACACCAAACCATGGCTGGCATCTGCTAGAAGAGCTCTTCTCCTCACAGTGTACCATGCCATCTACCTGGAGGAGCTGACAGCAGTGGAGCTGACCGAGAAGCTGGCCCAGCTCTTCAGCATCTCCTCCCAACAGATCAGCCAGATCTACAAGCAGGGGCCCACGGGGATCCACGTGCTCATCAGTGACGAGGTGACAGCCTCTGGGTGCACCCACGGGGTTCCTCAGGCGTGAGCAGCTCCCCCTGGGCTCAGCCAGGCTCAGGGGTGGGTTCCCTCAGCCAGGCAGGGGGGAAGACTTGGCTTTCAGACCTGCACCCCGGAACCGGAGGGGTTCTCTCCTTGCTTCCTGGGTCAGAGCTTCCGTTCTGGAGAGCTGGAGAAGGGAACAGTGTTTCTGGCTGGTGCCTTTCCTACCTCCCAGAGCACTGAGCTCCTGCCTGAGCAGCTTCCAGCCCCTTCAGTACTCTGTGCCCACGGCTGGATGGTGGAAGATGAAGCCCTCACTTGGCTGGGAGGCACTTGTGCTGTGTTCGGACACAGCCTCGGGCTAAACTGGCTCTTATGGCTTCTTCCAGATGATCCAGAACTTCCAAGATGAATCCTGTTTCGTTCTGGACACCATGAAAGGTGTGTAAATGCCCAGGCTCCAGCTTCTGTTTCCCTCCTGCCCTTCCTGGGGGAGCTCCTGTGTGGGATCCCCTCAGCCCAGGGGGTTCTTGGCCATGGGGGTGGCTCATGCCCTTTGCTTCCCTTGCAGCTGAGACCAATGAGAGCTACCACATCATCCTGAAATAGGAGGGGACAGGCTGAGGAGCTCTCACCATCCTCTCGTCACATGTGAAGACCCTTCACTTCCAGCACAAGGACACGAGCAGAGATCTGGGAACTCAGGAGCACCCTCTGGAAAGCCTCTGATTCCTTGGCTCTTGCTCACAGAGGACCTCGACCTCCTCCTGCTTCTGTTGGCTGGTGGGAACGTGCTGTGAGGCTTGAAGCTCACACTTTTGTGTAGCTCTAAGTAGAGACTGGGACCCAAGACGTGCTGAGGGCTTTTGCCTGTGCCAAAGGTGCTCAGCTCTTCTGAGGAGCATCAGTGACACTCTCAGACTGCAGAGAACACGAATTCAAGAGGCCCAACAAAGCCAACTGGCCCCTGAGCATGTGCTGAGCTGAGCAGGGCTCATACCCTCCGTGCTGTGGTGGGGGAGGGCTGGGAGGGGGTCTTCAAGGACTTTATTAAGCTTTCATTTAATACTACAACGCATCTGTTAGACAAAGGTGGGTTTAGCCTCTCCACCCACCCCAAAGTGGCCCTGTCTCCATGGGTGCCGTCCCCCTTCCCATGCAAAGATGGGGGGGATGTCAGGAACTTTTCCATATGGATTTGGGTGTACAAAGCTGGAGCAAACCATGGAGTGACGCAGAGCTGGATAAAGAACCAGTGAACGAGTTTGCTCTGGGGTTCTTGGCTGCAGCTTTTAGGGAGCGATGTGTCCCTGCTGCCCCCCCTTCTGCCCCTGCATCCTCCTGCCCCAGCGCTGGGGGAGCCCTCAGGAGAGGAGGCAGCAGGATCAGGGGGGTCTGGAACGTTGTTGGACTTGCTGGTGGCCAAAGTGCCTCCAGGATGACAGGGAAATGCTGGATGTGACACACTGGCCATGTCCCTGCTGCCCTTTGT